CCTAGACCCTAAACCCTAGACCTTCCTTGCTCAGCCTGCCTGAAGAAAAAGTTCGAAATATTGGCCCTCCTGAACCCGAATACCCCTAAACGCTAGACCCTGTTTCCAGGATCCACACCAGCTCATGCAGTCAGGCCGGTTTGGGATTTAGTGCTTGGGGAAGTACTGGTGCTAGCAGCAGCAGCGTTCGTTGTGTTGGTCGTGGTGCTGGTAGCAGTATAGCAGTAGCAGCCGCAAGCAGGAACAGCTGCTGCATCAGTATCAGCATCAGCAGCAGAACCAGCAGCAGTACCAGCAGCAGTAGCATTTTAACTGCGGTACCAGCAGCGGCAGCAATAGCAAGAGTAAGGGCAGCCGTAGTTGGAGTAGTAGTCGTCCGAGTCGCAGTCACGATCTTTGTCCTAGTCCGTGTCGTTGTCGTGGTCGTAATGGTAGTCTTCGAAGTTAGTTCAAGCATTATCATTATCTTAGGGGCTGAGTAGGTAACCTTTAGCCTTTTGGGGCTTCTATAACCCTAGTATGATTCAAAAGGTTAAACCCTAAACCCTAAACCCTAAACCTTTATTGGGCCATATAGGGTACTCAGTCCCTAAGTTATAGTCAGGGCTTCGGTGTACCAGATCAGTTCCACTACGAAGAGCTTTGCTACAAATCAACGTGACGTTTGGCCCAAAAAAGCACCTACGCAAATCATAGGCTAGGGATATCGCTTGTAGATTCCCACGTGATAAAGCCCAGTATGGTAGGGATATCCCTGTCATATGCATATGGGGGTTTCCGAAAATAGGGGACCCTAATATAGCACCTGAAATAGTAGGATCCTTATTCTAAGGACCCCAAAATAAGGTACCCATTATTTCGGAAACTCCCATAAATGTCATCTTTACGACCTCTTTGAAGATGATGATAGAGGCTTCTGGTTTGCTGGTGTAACGAGTCGCTAATAGCATACGGTTTAGGGGTTTAGGGTTTAGGGGTTTAGGGTTTAGGGTTTAGGGTTTAGGGTTTAGGGTTTAGGGTTGCATCTTCCTGCCAGCGTGGTGCGCACACGGCTTCTATTCCTCCGAAACACCATCATGTGCACCCCAAAGGCTCCATGTACCTTTATAGTAGCCACTTAAGCCTTAAAGGGATCCCTATATTGGTACTTTAGGGCTTAAGTATCTCCTATAAAGCTACATGGAGCCTTTGGGCACTACACCATGAAGCACTGGAAAGCCCATGTCCAAATCCTTTGCCCCTTTAACCCAATCCCAGAAACGACAAACCCGAAGCCAGAAACAAGCGCAAAACAAAAAAGCTGCATATGCAATAAAACCGGAAACTCATGAAAGATAAAACTAAGCCAGAAGACAAAGCTAAACCCATGAAAGAAAGCCGAAACCCACACCATAAATGACAACATAACAACTAAACCCATCCACATTGAAAGGCAAACCCAACTAAGACAACCTTACGCTATAGCAGAAAAGCCATGCCAAACAGATATAGCCCGAAAAAGCAAAACTAGCCCAAAAGCACGAAACTAAACCAAGAAAGTACATTTAAAACCCATAAAAGACAAACCTAATCCCTTGAAAGGCAAACCTTTAAACTTCCAAGCCAATGGCCCACTATTATAGACCCCTTATAGTAGCGTCAGGGAACCCTTCCACCCTGAAACCCCGTAAAGCCCTAGACCCTAAACCCTCAATCCTAAACCCTACTAAACCCTAAACCCCCTAAACCCCTAAACCCTAAACCCTAAACCCTCAACCCGGAAAAGGTGCAGCTCGACTGCTCCAGGGACATTCGGAATCTGAGGATCGGTCGCCCAGGAGACTCTTGGCTGATGTTAGAGTACCCAAAGGCTCCATGTAGCTTTGTATTGAAGGTTTAGGGTTTAGGGTGTAGTAGATACTTAAGCCGTAGAGTACCGATATAGGGACCCCTTTAAGGCTTAAGTAACTACTATCAAGGTACATGGAGCCTTTGGGGTAGGGCCACGTCCAAGAGTTCCCTTCAAGGGAAGTCGAATTCTTACTATAATTCAGGGTTTAGGGTTTAGTGTTTAGTATAGGGGTCTTAATAATTAGAAAAACGGGGGGGCGAGGTATACTATCGCATAGCCAGTATAGTATAGCAGGGTTTAGGGTTTAGGGTCGTGCTCTTGTAGGGTTGTGCGGGTTTAGGGGTTGGAGAAATTTGGGGCCTGTGTATTGATTTTCCTTGGTTCAGGGCTAGTGTTAGGGGTTTTAGTATACAGCCTGAGTAGGAGAGAATGTAACCTTAAACTAACTTTTTATGTGTGATATAAATTTGTTGTATTCCCGAAGTTTAACCGTTAGTTCAGCTAGGATACTGGACAAGTAGGTATAGAGGGTTCCGGGTATTGAGAGGTTCGGGACTGGGGGTTATTATTGTAAGGTTTAGGGTTTAGGGATTTGGTGCCATGGGGCTTGGAGACACTGGGCTACAAGGTCTTGAAGGGAGCTTTGCTTAAATCGTTTAGGGTTTAGGGTTTAGGGTTTAGGGTTTAGGGCATCCGCTCGGGCCTCGCAGGGGTTAATTCTGAAAACGTTAACGGTACATGGCACCCCTAAGCAATAAGCCCTAAAACGATGGACCTTGTGGGAACTGACCTTCGGTTCTTTTCGAAACTAAGAAACTGTAACCCTAGACAAGTTGGAAGCCTGAATAGCCACCATATAAAAAGGGGCCCCAAACCCTACTAATTACCCTAACGGCGAATAGTATATACTTTGGCCTGAATGTAGTCCCTACATAGGTACTTTAGCCCCAATGTATCTACTATTTGGGTACATGGACCCTTAGGGGTAGATACTTTGATCCTCAAGTACCAATACCATAGGGACTAGTTTTGGGCCAAAGCATATAAGTTTATGAGGGCCCGTACAGTAGCCCGAATCCCGGAGATTGTTCCACGGATCACCCGAGGTGCAAACCGTCGCAAGCCAGAGCAGCCGGGCTGATGTTCGCATGGATATCCATTTTCAGGTGGGTAGTTACGGCTATCGGAGCTTTATAGAAGGTCTATATACCTTATGGAAGCCTTATAGAAGCCCTATATAGGTGGGTAGTTACGGTTACAGGAGCCTGATAGAAGGTCTATATAATTATAGAAGCCATATATACCTTAAACTCCCCACCTGTAGTTTCCTTTGATGGATAGGGGGTTCCTCTAAGGGCTCCCTTACGCCCAGCCTACAAGGGTTCCTATAAGGCTTCCTTTAAGGGGCCTTTTAGGGGTTCACCCTCTAGGGGTTCCTTTAAGGGTTCGTTCCGGTAAGGTTTCCTTGAAGGGCTCTTCAGGGTTTCAGGGTTTAGGGTTTAGGGTTTCGGGTTTAGGGTTTAGGGTTTAGGGTTTAGGGTCAGGATTGGTATGAAGAGTTTCGGGCTTCGGTTCCCTGGGTCTGTCTACCCAAAGTTTAGTAGTGTACTAGTAAGTAGACCTCGTAGGGTTTACACTTGGGTTTGGGGTTTAGGATTTGGGGTTTAGGTTTCAGGGTTTAGGGTTTACACACAAGGTGAGCATTTTAGCTCGTGTATATGCTTTGCTCTGGATTGGGAAAGGGTGTACGTTTTGTTTGGCTAGCGTCACTTGCTGCCAGAGTTGCATCTCCACGCCTCTCCACGGGCATTTGCAGAATATGTTTCTTGCATTGGTTTGATTTGTTTAGGGTCTTGTGTGTTTGTGGTTTGAGGTTGGTCGAAATTGGACCTTTGCGAATGGTTTTCCGGGGCTTCGGAAACCCTACATCCAAAACCTAGGCCGTCCGACATGGATGGCTGGACGACCACAAGCAGCGTCAGGACCGACACTCTCGTGCTTCTTGTTAGGGAACTAGTGATTTTTTCATGTTATGGTTTACAGTTTACAGTATACAGTCCTTAGCTGCCTCAGCACGCGCGTCC